ATCATTTGTGACTATATCGTCAACAAGTTTACTCTAAAGTTAAGTGGGCTTTGTATGGTTCACAGTCAGTGAGGTAATCTTTCTAACAGTAAGAAGATACTTTCATTTTTAATAAATGCTGTACCAAAATGTATTGAAGTAAAAGTATAATGGTAAAAAAATGTATGTTGTGTGTGTGTCTATGTATGTGTTTGAATATAACATCTTTCATATGACACGGATGTCTCTCTCAGGAGGTGATGGGATTGTTTGGGTGCCAGACATGGGAGAAGCCTCTGCACTGAAGTGTTTCTGGAGTGATGCTGTTACAAAGACCCACGTGGAGAAGGACTTCATTGCGTTCAAATCATCAACTCCACGTAAGTGACTTCATAAAGAACACTTTCTCAGCCTATTAGTTCCTAGATGACAGGTTAGGCCATGATAATATTTTATCACTACTTTAAGAACATTTCCTCTATAATGAGATATTGTTGGTGGAAGATCTATTTAAAATATTAAAATTTACATAACTAGAAAGTTACAAGTCCTGATTTTGGAGAAAGTTTTCAAACTACACAGAAGGTCAAGGAAGATCCAGACTTAAAATAGTCTAACTATAAATAAAGTAAGAGGTTATTTTTTTGTTTTTGTATATATATCTATATCCATGGCACATGTATCATCTTCTCATGGTTTGGTCTACCTGATCATGTACTAGCAATTAAATGAGTGAACCAAAAAAATTATAATAATTGTACTACATATCCTAGAATGTCTTGGCTTGTTATTTAAATAGTTACATAGCTGTATTTTTCAAAGGAGAGTTAGAATTTTGGGAAATGCTCACTTAAGGTTGATATTTAATATTCTAAAAATAGATAAACTTATATAGAAACAGAGAACAGAATTAGATGGAATCCTACATCAAAGACTTGAAGAACTCTAGAGTTCAAGATCAGAGCTAGAAATATTAGTCATCAAATTAGACTCAGGCCCAGCCAGCATGGCTTAGTGGTTGAGTATCACCCTGGGAACTGGGAGGTGGCAGTTCGATTCCTAGTTAGGGCACATGCCTGGGTTGTGGGCTCCATCCCTAGAGTGGGGCATGTAAGGGGCAGCCAATTGATGATTCTCTCTCATTATTGATGTTTCTCTCTCTCTCCCTCACTCTTCCTTCCTCTCTGAAATCAATAAAAATATATTTAAAAAATTCAACTCAGAAGGTAGGGTCAGAGAATAAAAAATAAAACTAGGAGTATGTGTTGTCAGAGTTACTTAGAAAGAATCTGATGGAGTTACCAATGGTTTCTGATGTGAATAAGAGCTCAGGTAAAGATGAGGCCCAATGAGTTACCATTAGATTTAATGACTTGGAGGATGTGGGTGACCTTGCAGAAAGTCATTTGGTAAATATAGTGTGGGAGGGAGAAGCTAGACAGGAGTGAGGAGGCTGGGAGGAAATGAAGATGGTGAGTAGAGATATATTTGAGAAACTTAACTATAAAAAGAAAGGAGAAATAGAAAGATAGCTGCAGATAAACTGACAATTAGAATATTTACTTTTTTATGATAGAAGATAATTGATTACTTTGCAGTGGTAAAGAGGAGTATTAATTCAAGAGATATTCACACAACAAAACTTTAAGTGTAAAAAAATTATATTAGAAAATAGTATGGATGAAGAGAAGACCCAGAGTCAAAGAACATCAAGGGCTATATTCTTTTTTATACTGTGTAATAGGTGCTGAAAGGATTTATGTCCTTTTCCACTATGTTCAATTCTAAGGTCCATAACTTTGGCCCTGCTACTAATAAAGTCAAGGGGATTTATGATTGAGGGTCCATGGTGGTTTTCTTTGAACTGCTATAAAAACCTGTGGTCCTAGCTTTATCCAGATTTGGCCTCCCTCTTTCCTCCAAGGCATTAAAATCAAACTTTGTCTAAAAGCTACGGCTTTAGGAGGCTTTCATACTTAAACAATGTCCGCATCCCTCAATCTTTTTATATTTTTTATTTGCAGATAATAGCTCTTGGAGAGGGGTCAAAACTGGCTCTTTTTTCATTTCCCAAATTATCTACCACTTCAAGGAATATGCTTGGTGTCATCATTTGGAGGAGATTTTTCGAAAGGTAGGATCTTTTCCTTTTATTCCATGCCTCAGAACATTTTTTTTAATCTTTAAATTCTATATTAGTTAAGGAATTACAACTGTGTCCATATCCTCCCCCCATTAACCCCCATTCTCCTCCCCCCCAGAACATTTTGTAGACCCATTTACAAATGTTTTCAGGAATCCTGAAGCCTTAAGTCCCTTTGATGCTCTTTCCTGTATTCCAAGTTTATTTTAGTTTTTTGAAGTCATACATAGAACCAGTGTGAGTTTCTCCAATTTTAGTAGCCTTGCTCATTCAGGGAATGTTTTTGAAGGTACTAATTCCATTGTGTATGCACTATATCCAAGGATGCTAAAATTTCTGTTTATATCATGTAAAAATAGCCTTTCTTCTGTTTAGATCATGTAAAAATTAGCCTGACCCCTAAGTGAAAAGTTCAAATTTCCTCTTTCAAAAATCTCTAAAGGCTTTCTTGGCTACTTTAGGTTCAACATTCATTTGAGACACCAAAGGAACTGGCCCAGATGCCAACGATTGAAAGAGTATCCATGACACGGTATTTCTACCTCTTCCCTGGGAACTAAGGTAAATGTAACCAAGAAGTGGACTTGGGTGCTTCCTGCTCAGAGTCTTTACATAAAGTCTAGATAGAATGGAGAGCAATGATAGAGTGCTGCTGCCCAGTCATCACTAAGGCTCACCTTATCTGCCCTTTTTTAATGGCCCTTGGAGGAACCCTGGTTTTATTTGCATAATAAATGCAAATAAAATGATTGCATAAGAAATGATTAAGTCCAGATAGACAATTCTTCAGTCCTTACTTCTCTCAAAAATCTACTCAGTAAGTAGGAAATATTTAGTTCTGATGCATGCACTAAACAAAACAATGGGACATGTTACATATAGCTGGTGTTTTGGCTTCCTTCCCAAAAAGCCTGTTTTGCTGAGTCATATCCCTACTCTGTTTGGCATGAGGCTTGCTAGTGCCACAGTGTGAACTGACTGCTGATGAATCTACACTGAGGTAAAGATTGTCTTGTTTGGGCATGATAGATACATAGCCCTTTTGTGAAGATATATCTCATAGTAGAAATTAGTTCTATTTATATCTTACTTCTAGTTACTAATAACAACATTCTCCTTCTACTTTTTCCAGGACAAATGGAGACATTATGGTCTCTATGATTCTACTACTTTAAAAGGTCAATTTTTCATGAAGAATATTTTTGTACCAAACATTCAATTGCCTACCCTTTACAAATGCCAGGCTAAAATCACTATTTTACTGTTATTGAATTAATGCTCAATAAAGTTCCTTTTAAAGTACGCTTGTTTTCTCATTTTATCGTAAAAGTAATTCATGCTCACTGTAAAACAAATTTTAAGTATAGAGAAACATAAAAATATTTTTAATGAAGAAATAGTACTTCTTGTCATGGCCTGTGTGGCTCAGTTGGTTGGGCATCATCCAGGCAACGAGGGATTGCCAGTTGGATTCCTGGTCAGGGCACCTGACCTGTTGTATCTCCATCCCCTATTGGGGCAGCAAATCAATGCATCACTCTCACATTGATGTTTCTCTCTCTCCCCCTTCCTCCTCTCTCTAAAAAAATAAGAAAATATCTTTAAAAAAATGAATAATACTTCTTAATCTTCTTTTAACTCTATTTGTAATAACCTGCTAATTTTATAAAGTTCCTTGATTTTGTATCAATTCTGTTTCTGTTTTCTTTTATTATTTTGTGATAACCCTCACTAATAGCAATAAAAATAGCCTAAATACTATTTGATTTTGTAATATTCCATCAGGCATTTTATTATATATTATTTAAACGTTTATTTACTTTTAATGTCCTTTTTAATATGGATTTCCGGCACACAGTGATGATAAATATTTTTAAGATTTTACTTTGTCTAAGTTTAGGTTTATTTTCTTATAATATTAGGTTTATTTTCTTATAATATATTCTAAAAAGTGGAATTTCTAGATGCAAGTGTAAATATTTTTACACTTTTTATTGGCAAAATTTTATGCCCACTTCTATGACTATAAGAAATTTAAGATAACTACTGACAAATAAATTAAATGTCCCTTTTAAATAAAGTTATTAATATAATAAATGAAAAATAGTCAATTTCATTAGTTATTATTTTTTGTTATTATCATTGATTAAACTTTTAACACCTTTACTAGCTAGTTTTTAATGTGAATTATTAATTCATATTATCTTTCTATTTTGTTACATACAAGTTTTGTGTATTTTCCTCATAACTGTGGAAATACTTTCTGTATAATAACATTTTAGTTCATGGCATATGTCAGCAAGCATTTCTTAGTTGTTTGATAACAAATGTGTATGATATTATATAAAACACACAATTTTAGTAATTCACTTACATTTATTTCAGTTTGCTTCTATTTTTCAAACTTAAATAGTGTACTACTCCATCTATATTTTCCTATCATTGTATTTAGATTTTTAAAAATATTTTTCTAAAATATATGTAAGTTCTTTGCTGTCCACTGTGGGTTTTCATACTGAGGATATTATTGATTGCAGTATTACAAGCCACATTATATCTTCCAATGGATATGAAAGATATACTACATGAATCATTTTTTAATATTTATAGATTGTAATATTGTATTTAACATTAGTTTAAGACAGGGGTGAGGACCATCAGGCCCACCTGTCCTGTATGTAAGGCCTGTGACATCATTTGGTCTGGCCCTGCCAAGGCAAATGCAGACAGGACTTGGAATTCAATTGATCTAGGAGTGTGTGGTTCTTTTTGTTTTTTGGTTTTTTTCATAGCAAGATAAATTTACATTAAGTGAATTATCTTAATCAAATGATGTTATAAATATCCAAATGGCCCTTAAAAGTAAAAGGTTCCCCACCTCTGGCTTAGGATGTGCTCTTGGCTATTTGTTTATGAAGGATGTAAAATGAAGATACTAGACTTTGGTATATATGTTAGAGAATCTTTGACTGTAATGGATTAAAGTCCACTCAAACTAGCATCAAAAACACCCCAGGCAAGACAACAACTTTAATGTGAGCATGCAATAGGTAATCTGATTTTCCCTTAAAAAGAAAACAAAAATAGAAAGAAAATCATTCTCTCTGAATAGCATCTCCAATGTGGAATGAGTTCTTTTATAGCCTGCATTTATTTATAAAATAGGAATTGTGGCATTCTTAAAATAAATTAGTTAACTTCTCTGATACTAGTTTTAGGTTCAAAGTAGGTACACTAACACTTGACTCTATAGAGCAGGTGTGACAGGCTGTGTATGATGGTTCTCTTTTGCACTCTCTGTCATATAATGGACAACTGTTTATGGCAGAAGTCATTACTGTTACATGCACTGATTTAATGTTCGGGGCTATGCCACATCACACTGTTAATCACTGTGGTTTTATAATCTTCATTAGTCTTCCCTTATTCACACTTGCTTTAATTATTTTTGTACATGCTCCCAGGTGAATTTTAGAATGATGTTATACGTTTTCTGACAATTAAAATGAGGTGTGAATGGGATATAAATAGGTTGATTTAGTTACCTAAGATCATGTTTTATACAATCATTAAGCCACATTTTTACATTAAGCAAAGGTTTATATTTTCTTCATATATATATATTCATTAACTTTTTAGATAAGAATATATATAAACTTAACTCAGCATCCATTTTGAACATTTACTGATCTAGAAAACTTTTCCCTTAGTTTGTCTTTAAAATTTATACATATAAAATTTCATCACCTGCAAATCATAGATTTGTCTCCTCCTTGCCAATATCCACAGCTTTTATTTTAGATTTATGAAGTTCTATATTTATAATATAGCTTTAGATAATATAAAACAATTAAAACAGTGATACTGAGCATCCTTAATTATTATTTTAATGAAAGGCTTACAGTATTTCATGACTAACTGTTTCCTGTTGATTTAAGGTAGATTTTTTATAATAAAATGTAGATTTATATTGTTGTTTTTCATATGGTTCATCTCCCTCTCAGGAATGAATACTATTTTGAGCCCTTACATTGAATATAGTAAATAAAAAGAAAGTTATTATCTTTCTATTTGAACTACTGATATTACAGTCACAGGTATCCTGATATTAAGCAGTGATTATGTTTTTAGGATAAAATTTTCTTTGTAACTTAGAATTATTCATTGAATTTCCATTTTAAATATTGCTAATATTGATTTAGAATGCCCATAATTATAGACTGGATTGTCATTTATTTTAATTTCTATTGATTTGATTTATAATTATTTATTTCTAACTTGGCTATAGGCTAATTATAATATTTTTAATGAACTATAAATCATATTTTAATGAACCCTAGCATATCTAAAAATGTTTTATCCAATAGCTCACTTATAAGTTCACCTAAAAACACATATAAAGACCAATCTGAATGTATTCCTCAATAGTAGCTTTTAAAAATGATCAGTGTAAACATTTTAAAACATTACCAATATACCATGTTGACATGTCAGTATTCGTTATTTTAACTTTCAAATCTGTAGATGAAAGCCAATTTGTATAAGCACTAAAAAGGCTTTATTTTGTTTTAATCTTGATAGCATCAAGACTATGTAAAAATACCCCATTACATTTGAAAGCTATAAGGAAAAAATGAAAATCTGTGTTCCATGGAATGATTTATGTTCCCTCTCTTTCATCTTGCTGTTTTTCTCCCTCTCTCTCCATATATATTTAGAAACATACTGTACAAGCTATTGTATGACTTTCATTTTAAAAAATAATTGCCTAGGATTAAAATGAGTAGCAGAGATGTAAATCATCGTAATATAAACAGCATAAGCCTAAAAATCTGGGGAAAGCCAATCTAGGGCTGATTTGGTGGTGGTGAGGTGGGAGGTCTCCACCATGTCCTTGCCCCAGCTGCCCTCAATGAGTGCCTTGTATTTCACTTTTTTTTAAAAGCACTCCTCAATTAGTGCCTTGTATTTCACTCTTTTAAAAAAAAATTATCTTTATTTCTGGAAGTATTATTGATGTCTCCTGTCCCCTTTTTTCCTCATCGACCCCTCCACCCTGCCACCCACCCCCTTCCAGGCCTACCTCACCATTGTCTGTGTCCATGGGCTATGCATATAAGTTATTTGGTTAATCTTTT